TGGTTCTTAGTTTCCTAACTAACGGGTTAAGAATTGCTCTAGGTTAATTGAAAAATCCTATACCTGGGATATTCGCTGCCTAATCTGTGTCATACGAAGGTTTCAAGTTAATTTAACTTGTGGGTTAGCAGTAGGGGCGTGACGGTGTCAATAGTAGCATAGTCGTGATTGGCACAGAAAGCAACCAGTGTCGGCTACATTGGATGCAAAGAGATAAAATTCAATTTCTTTACTTATGCCAAGTAATGATGAATTCATTAATTTGTGAAATTTAAAAGATTTCATCTGTTTCAAGAAATGAACCAAACAAAAGAATTGAAACTTGATATTTTCAATTAAAATCCCATGGATTCCATGAACCAAACAGCACTAGCAAATCATTTTTCCATTACAAGGAGTTGATTAAGAATACTGAAATAATGCTGCAATAAAACCCATCGTTTTCAATTGTGGGAAAAAAAAATCAAAGATCCTACACTTGATGTCAATCTGAGTAAAATCTACCCTTTTAACATACTTGTTACCAAAACATATATATTGTATTCTATACGAGGATTTATTCGCTTATACAAAACTACTGACCAAGTTCCGGTCTCAAGCACTTGACATTGCTTGGTATATAAATATCTCCCCGAAGAAAGAAAAATAACGTGATCAAATTATTCTGCGGTTTTGGGTTTATGGGCGTTGATCAATTGCGTTTGCACATCCGCAGAAACAGGGGAGTGTTCTTTATATTCCATCGTGAATTCTCCCTTTCCCTGCATAATTACAACCATAGAAACTTTAGGAACTCAAAATTTTAAGCTTCAACTAGTCACCAACTCATTATTTTGTATCTCTTTCCATTCGGAACAAAAAAGAATCATTTTTTCTCAAAACTCTTTTACAAACCGGGGGTCGTGATGAAAGCAGTTTCTCTGCTCCTTGGGGTAGAGGTAAGAGGCATTTTCGGTCATGAAGTTGTTTACAGGTTCATGGCTCTGCCGCATCATATTTCTCTTTCTTACATTTTTTTATAAAAATCATGAACTGGTCCATGATTTATAACCAATAAAAGAGAGTGGAGGAATTCATTAATTATTTATTTATTAAAATGGCATCGGGCCCCACAAAAAGTGGTGGCCGACACTTATTTTCTCCACAATGGTATAAACCGGTTTTTTCCAAGCTGATGTGGCAATATATCGGTCCAAGACCCACCCATTGGAGATGCTCTATGGTCTATATGTATATTCTACCCTCGGACCTTACTCATGTGAGATTTGCATGGATTTGTTTGGTTTGGTATGATTTTAGGTGAGCGACCCATTTACAGCAAAATGGCGCCAGATTTGAATACAAATATTCTAGGGAAAAGGCGAGTAATATTGTATAAAAACAAAATAACTTGATGCTCTAAAATTTATCTATGGACGTGGATTGCTTTCACGGCATGGGTCTAGAAGACGACCAATTCATGGTGCGTATTAAAAACGTTAGAAACGTTGCAAGTTGCAACTTTCTCCCTTGAGTTTCATAGTTCAGTTTTTGTCACCGTTTCTGTTATAGTTATATTAAAGGTTTTAAGTTCATTTTTTGGTTAGAGTTAACAGTGAGTCTAAAATATTTACATTTTGGACATCAGCTAAATGTTAGAATTTTACCAATGTAAACCTAAAAAAGATTAACCGAATTTCCAGTCACAACAATTTCACAAATAAACAAAATCATGTTTAAAATGTCAAATTATTTTACTTGTTAATCATTGTTCACTGTTTACTCTTAAAATTTGTCAAGGCTGACTTTGGATTTTACTGTGATTAGGTCTGCCATTTCTTTGTTAATGGTTTAGTCATTCTTGATTTATTTTTACTACTTAGATCATTAAGCTTCTAATTAAGTTCTTCAAAAACAAAATGACAGGTTAGTTTTGTTGTTGGTTTTATTTTTACTGCTTAGATACTTAGGCTGCAATGTTATAACTTTGAATAGTGTATTTTTATGTTCTTAAATATGTATATTCCGAAATCTCCCTTCAATCTCAGAGGACTGGTTTTGTTGGGAAATCTGAACAAATATCTGAAACCTCCTCAGTGGAGATCTGATTCTATTCCTTGGAAGTGGCTAATGAGTAAGACAAGCTCAAATACTTCTCTAAGGACCTGTTTGGTTTGAAGGAATGTTTTTGAGGGATTTGGATTTCATGGAAGGATTTGAAATCTTTTGTGCGTTTGGTTTGTAGCATTTGGAATGGAATCAAATTCCATTTTTTATAGATAATTTATTAAAACAAATTACAAAAATAATTAAATTACCTTCTATTAATTCACTATCATAAAACGAATGTTTTTAACATATTTTACAACATTATTACAAACAAATGCCTGGAAGTACCAACTATCCTCATGGGATTTCGAAATCCGATGTTTGTGAGATTTCATTGTAATCCCGGGATTTTAATTCAGGACTTTCCTTTAAACTAAATGCAGGATTGGAATGGAATCCAATTCTAGATCCTATCAAATCCCGCAAACCAAGCAGGCCCTAATATTACTCCTAATATTTAGATCAACTGAACCAAAGCATATACGTTGTTAAATAGTTTATTTTCATGAAATCATCTCAATTATACGATCTCTATATGTGAAGTAGTATTTGATAATCAGAAAAACCTCAAGAAAGCAATAAAGATATTATAATTCAAGAATATAGTGTAACGATAACGTTTCCACTCACCTGTGTCATAGAACGAAGAGCTGTCGAGTATCCAAACATATTGTTCAGTGGGACCTGAAAACCAAAAAACCGAAAAGTCCCCCAACGTAAATTATAACCAAGTCGATCAATGATCTTCATACAAATCTACTACAGGACCAGAAGTACAGCATACATATGCTGCTGCTGTGTAATCAAACAAAGCCAGTATCACAATCATATATCCCTGTTGCCTCTCCCTAACAAAAACCAAATCAAATATACACAGTATATCTCCCTGTAAGTAGGAGTGGATGTATGCAGCCTTTCTGGCTAGCGTAAAAGCTCTGGGAGTTCTTGAGAGGCCGAAACGTCATTAAAAAAGTTTGAAATTTGAATTCTTTGAAAAAGTAATTGAGGAGCTTGATGTGATGAAAAAAAATTCTACACTACTACTAATTAATGTTTTTCAAACTAGTACCATCATAATTGTATAGTACACAGGATTTGTAACAAGATGCCTAGCTAGTGGAGTAGAAATGTCTCTTGCATTTTGATTGCTTGAGTTTAGCATATATCAATACCACATCTTTTAAATAACAGAAATAAATTTTACAATCGACATCCAGAAACACAATGAATCACATAAAAACAACTATCAATAGCAAAAACATTGCAAGCCACTGCTACAGTTTCTTAGAAATGCAATGCAAGAATATTTCAAGGACGTTATGAAAGCTCAAATATAGAATTTCTTAATCTCAAAGTGCTAAACAGTGAAGGAACCGATTTCGATGTATTTAGGTTGGGACAAGAATTACAACTAAGAAACTATCATGCTTACATCAGACATACTACAGAAACCACTAGTAAATTATGTCAAGGCTGCAACAGTCAAATATTCCTTAATCACACATTGATAAGCTATAATTTGATATTTCATAGAAAGTTGTAAGAGGGGGTTTGATATACTTACAAGGGCAGTAATTACAGAATCATCTCCATCCTGGTCATTTCCAACTATTATGCCTTTTCTCCTGTTATATAATATGTATGGTTAAAGATACTTAAAAAACCAAAATAAGAAAGGGATGGTTGGTTTTACCTGTTCAAGTCCCCAGAAACATTGCCCTGAAATTCTGTTGGCACTTTCAATTCAACCAACATCACAGGTTCCAATATCACAGGCTTGCATTTTGTATAACACTGTGTCATGAAGTCAGAAAATTAATCACTACAGATAAAACCGGTTTAAATGGGTACAAAGAGATTAATTTTGTATGACAAAGTGTTTATTATGACCATCTCTTTCAATTAATCTCGCCACCATCACCACAACCACTGCCACCAACTAATTTTATCATTGTATGGTATTCATAATTCAAGTAAGAGAGTATGAAAATGTCCATGGAGGGATATTTTGGTCGTTTATTATTTCATTCCAAGTCCAAAACTACATTCTGCCAACCAAACATCCTCTAAGAAATTTCATTAAATTCCATTTCAGTTCCTTCTAATTCCAATTCCTTTGATGAATTCTGATTCCACCAAATTCTATTATGCAAATCAAACCCGTGCTTAGTTTTCTCAAAATTCATAAAAAACACTTTGTTTCCTTTTTGAAAACCGTGGTATCTGGGCCTTTGGCCCAACCAGTCGACAGGGTCCATGCAAAGCGCCATCTCCACATGGGCAGAACAAACTTTAGTCCATGCCAACGGGCATGGCACAAAAGAAGTTGATAGAACCCATGGGATTCAAAAACAACAATAGCTGTATGAACTTGTGTCCAAATACCATATTAGAAAAAGTTTAGCATACAGGCAAACAGTATCCACTAGCAATCACCCTTTCTAATCACTTTTTCTTGAGTTATTGACTTTTTAAACCAATGTAGTGACTTTATGTTGCAAAAAACCATCGTTCTTGCAAAAAAAAAAACACTAGATTTTACAAGAATAAGCATTTTTGGAAAACTATGCAGAAGTATGATGGTTTCTTTTTTTACATTTCTCCAGTTTTTCCTCCTCCTTATGAACTATGGTCCTATTTTTTTCACAAGTATGGTTAGTTTGCTATGAAAAGCCAAGTACAACGGTTCTAACAGTCCAACACTTTTTCGTCCCACAAGACTATATTAACTGAAGTACAGACACACAAACTGGAAAGAAAGAAAGACCTGTCTAAAAGCATATATTGAAGCTAATCTGAAAGCAAGTTCACTAGAATCCACAGCATGAGATGCACCATCTGTCATAACAACGCGAATGTTTTCAACTGGGAATCCAATCAAAGAACCCCTGCATAAGCAAAAAGGTTCAGTCTTTAAATGGTTGAAACAATAACAAATACAGTTAGCAAGACAGAACAACCATCCAGGTGAAATGCACTTTAGTATATTGACCATGGACCAAGTTGCAGTAGGAGGCAAAGAAGCTGAATTCCATTTTATCCACCAAGATCTATAAAGAAGTCGAATCATGAATCTCTTTCCCATATGGCACTTCTACTTTGCTTCTCTGCCTCCAACTCCATAGTAGATTATCATTCTAATGAATTCCTCCCTAATGAGCTAAATATATTTGCTGCTGCTTCTGTCCCATTGAACTTGTGTTTAACAACTGGCACAAAAGCTATTCAGTTCATCTAGTTATTCGAGAGTTTTTTGGGGGCAACAGATGCTTTAAGTTTAGAACATTTTTATCAAAAAGAATTTTGAAGAAAAAGGATTGAACTAGTTGGACATGAAGTTTTGAGCCAAAAAGTGATTCTCTGATTGTTGAAATTTTATAGGATGGAGTGAGTGATTTACAGGGATTTCAACTTACTTATCCTATAACTTATTTATGATTACCATGAGGTCTAACAGCTTTGTGGCAATCAACTATCGACTCCCAAGAAAGAAAATCTTTTCAAGATCACAGAAATTTCTACCCCTACTTTGTAGTAACTAGTTTAGCTGAATATCAGATGCTGGGAACATTACTATATTGCACTTGCAGTGTACACGTCCAGCGACCTTCCATGAACAAAATACTGTCCATTGGCTGGACCATACGTCCATAGTTTTCTTCTACTAAAATAAAATACTAATGATAATGAACATTTCAAAAAAGCAGAAAGCTGTATAGAGAGAACGTTAACTTATCAACTTGTCGATATTCAGCCGATAACCATAAAAAATCAAGTTCAATACTTACGAATTGGCAGCTTCCCTGAAGCCCTTCTCAATGTGTGGGATAAAATTGGAGGGTATAGCTTGTCCTATTATCATGTTCTCAAACTCAAACTTCGTTTCCGATCCGGCTGGAAGTGGTTCCATATACCTATCGATTAAAACAATTGCAAGCACAAGTCATTTAAGAAAGAACAGACCAACAATGGCGTAACATCGAATTTGAAGCCATCAAATGTTAAAGAGATATCAGAAACTGGACCGATTCCATTAATTTCAAGCTATTCACATGAAATTACAAGAAACAGAATACATCAATCCTCACATGTTAGTAGTGGATATATCTTCTCCGTTAATGGACACCTACTAGCTATGGCAAAAATACTCTATGCCAAAACATGTTTGATGACACAAAAGTTTAACCAGACCAGGTTAACAAACATCATATAAGGGATCAATCTCTTGGTCATTTATAAGTGCAGTTAGCTCTTACCCACACACCCTTCCGTATTGACCTTGGCCTCCACTTTGCTTCTTATGTAAATAATCAAATTCTGCACGTTGTGTAATAGTCTCTCTGAAGTTGACCCGAGGTTTTCCAACAGTTGCATCAACCTTGCAATGGGTACATAGATGAATAAACACGGTGGTACTTATTTCAAAAAGGTGCCAGTTCTGACCAGATGTAGAGTGCTGTTTTCAACTAAAACTGAAAATGGTACCTTGTACTCCCTCCGAATGCGCTCCACGTAAATATCCAAATGCAACTCTCCCATTCCAGATATGATTGTCTGTGCGAGAAAGCATCCATATTAGTGATGATACAAAAATTAGTTTCAAAGAAACACAAAAATAAATGTTATATGATGAAATACCTGACCACTCTCAGGGTCCAATCCAACACGGAATGTAGGATCCTCTCTTTGAAACCGATTCAAAGCTTTTGAGAACTGAAATGGTAAATATACATCAGCAGTAACTAATATAACCTAATCACTAAGCAGGATCATTGTTGAAGGGAATGCATACTTGCTTTCCGGAATCTTTTGAAACCGGTGAAACGGCTAAGGACACCACCGGCTCTGGAACATTCATAGAAGTCATGGTGTATTTGACTGATCCATCTGTAAAAGTATCTCCTGATGTAACACATAAAAACATTTACAGTCAGAGTACACTCAGAAAGAATAGCAAAAAACAGATATGGCAAAGATAAGAGAGAACTCATTAACATCATCTACATAATGTTAGATTATCTGTCTCTATTTAATCTCTGTTCAAGTTATGTTTCTTTAGTGAGTTATAGAGAAATTTAACTGAGAAACTTTTGCTTTTATATTATAAAGCTAAAATATAGATACTGCATTTAGCCTGCCTCAACCTACACTGTTAAAGCAGTCGATCTGAAATTGCAGTAACAATTGTGATTTAATAAAGCGGTTATCGCGGTGGTATAGCGGTCCAAAATTAGTGGTTCATATAATAATTAGAAAATTATATATAGGGCTGGGTTCCTATGAGAATGAGAGTTAGGGTGAGAAGGGCAAGAAGAGATCTCCACCTTGGATCAATACTAATTGAAGAGTTCCACTAGATCAACACTAATGAGAAGCACCGGATCAATTCCCTTTTAAAGCGCAATTCATGGGTTGTTTTGAGATTAGAAGTGATCAAGGGTCCAAACCCTTCTTACACTTCTCACCTTAACTCCTATTCTCACAAGATCCTTCGTCTATATATATATTGGCAGTCAAAAGTCCATCCAGTAGTTATTGAAATTGCATATTCATACATATGTTTGGCAGCTAAATGCGTGCTCCTAATGATTAACATGAAACAATTAAAGTCTCAAATGACTTACAAAGTCAAAAAAACTAAATTTCAGCTTCAAAATTGACATCATTTTATAACATTGTTGAGCAACTTTGGAACTCAAAGGTCGTGAACTTCAGAAATCTTGACCTAAACATAAAAGATACTTGACACTCGGCCAAAAAAGAGCCCAACACTAAATAGCCCAACTAATGTTAAAAATCAAGCACAAGATAAATCGCCAATTTAGCATCGCTACTGCAACTGAAAAGTAAATAGCACCGCTATTCTCCCGAGACCACAAACCGCTATACCACTGCCATTGCACCGCTATAGCGGCGCAATTAACAGCACAGGCCTCAACCAACAAAAAGAACAGAAGTCGGGAAATAATATGGCCCTGCTATGAGACATACCAGATGCACAATCTAAACCAAATACTGCTACAATTTGACCCGCATGCGCTTCTTGAATATCCTGTATGGTTATTTCCAGAAAAAGTGAGAGAATCGAATGGAACAGCCATAACTATGTAAGGAAAGCATCAAGTTTTAATGACCTAAAGTTGAGGGGGAAATACCTCCATAGAATCTGAATGCATCCGGCCTAGTTTAGACACCTGCCATATATGATGTCAGACTCATTAAATAACTAAAGCCCACATATCTGGCCATTTAGCACTTATCTAATAAAAAGTACCCATATCTACATAACATTTAATTGAATCAACTGTTGTTGTAATTACTTGGGGCCAAATGAATTAATTATTCTTATTTTCAGTTGTACCAGAAGCAATATTTTTTATTAAATCAAAGTTATCATATCTCTGACATGTTGCCTTTGAAATTGGCTGTCATAAAATATAACTATTCTGTTAGTAATTTGTAATTCTTTGTCAGGTTATTTCTACCAGTTTCAACTTAAATGCTTCAGTGCCCTTCATTGTGTTCAAACTTGAAACCAAGGTAGAATCTGCAAGCCCTCAATCAGATACATTGCGCTCACCAATCTTACCTCCACCTCATGCACCAGAACCATCCCAGATTTAACAGAAACATTTATCCACAATCTCATACAAAAATATTCTTAGCTCACAGCTTTGCACGACTCTTTTGCTATTATGAAGTCCATCAAGTGATGTGAAGACTAGCAAGTAAGTTCTACTTGATAGAGAACATGTGTTAGTGGGTACAGGAAGATTGAGACACCAGATTCTGGAAGCTACTACTGCCCTTAGCACACCCATCATGTCAACAGATATCATGAATTGACTCTTTTCCTCCTGTTTTTCCTCAATGGAGTGAAGGTGTTGAATGATAAAGCAACCATAATGAAAGAAACATGACGTAAAATAGCAAATGTAATTCTAAAGATCTAGAACTCACTTTGATTTTCTTTCCTGTGTTAATGTTTGTAATAAATTCACCTTTCTTGAGCACGCCATCATATATTCTTCATTGAAATGAAGCAATGTCAATCATTTCAGCAAAGATGGATAAATAAATTACATTGGTAGGCTTGAAACATGGTTACCTTAAATATGTCAACTGACCAAATGGTCGTTCCTCAAGTTTAAAAGCCAATGCAACCATAGGTCCAGCTGGAGTTCCAGACAGCTTAACCTGTCAACAGTCCAAGCGATGCAGATTTAGTTCCATAAAGGATCATTGAAATATAAACACAAAGTGATGTGAAGCAATTCATCCATACTAAAGGATACCTTTTCTTCCTTCTTAGACTGATCAAGGGCAAAATTGTCAACTTCAAGTGGACACGGCAAATAATTAAACACACCATCCAGAAGCGGTTGTACTCCCTGTAGAGAAACAAAACAATAGATACCACCAATATGTTAATAGTTGAGCATGATTTATGGAAAATTGGAAACAGCTAAGAGAGACAGAACTTGGAACATATATCATGTTATGCAAGGCACTTGAGGTATAAATTCATCAAAAACACAGCTCCCTCAAGAAATATTGGTAAATCTCAATGAGAAAAAAGGTGTGCATTTCATCTTCCCAACGAGGCACAAGAAAGCTTACTATTTTTAAGTTGAAACAATTTACAAGACCAAGTAAAAAACCTTTTCACCAATCAACTTCAAGTCCAAAAGTCCATGGCCATGAACTTTTATTCGTTTGGATGATCACACCAAAAATATTTTTTAGGTACAGAAAACTCAAAAGATAATGCCTGAACCTAAAAGATGCCTCAATAGCACATTTCTAGTTGGTAGTTAGTGGGACAGAAATCTACAGAAAAGCATTCATTTGATAGTTTAATAGCAAAAAAAAGGTAAACCCTTTTTTACCAATGTGAAATCACCAAATCAATTACAATATGATGTAGTCACTTGTACCTTATTTAATAAAATTATATTTTCCACTAGATTTGGCCATTTCAGTACTGAAAAAGGATCGACCCTAAAAAAATTGTCACTCAGGAAGGGGTGGAAAGATCATCAAACCACTGCAGGCTATATAATCACATCTGATTCAGAAAATTTATGGTTTGCAATGATGAAAGGAATCCAGCGATCCTGGTATGATTTCATATAATTGTGACTTTACTCGATCCTGAAGTGGATAAAAGTGACATGAAAAGATGATTGACGGATTTTAACCAAGTTAAGCATGTTTTTACAATATGACTTGAAGACAAGATTGTTTGGTTCAAAGATCCAGATTCCAGAAGACTTCTCAGCAGCCGTGTAGAGATGTAATCATGTTAACAAATACTTCCCAGTATGGTTAGCCAACTCAGATATGGTGGCTATTTTAACAACTTAAAGCATTGTAGATCAGATAAATGTTAACCGCACGCTGGAAACAGGATTGTTTAAAAAATAAAGAGTACTAACATCATCCAAAAGCAAATTACAAAAAAATGTTACTTACCTTGTTCTTAAATGCACTACCCATAAATACTGGTATAAATTTCCGTGCTATAGTTGCTCGACGAATAGCTGCCTGTTCAAACCCCCCAGGCACAAGAAACAGCATTATAAGTACAGAAGTCTTTAATGTTAAAATAATGACCAAATACTATGCTGATACCAAAAAAATTACTAATGAAGTTCTAGAGAACTTTATCAATGCTAGATCCCGTATTTCTAGAAAAACGCAAATGAAAATATATTCTCATCTCATGAAGCCCCATTAGTGTCCTTCCTGTACGAATTACATTATATAGTCAAGTATCCAGCTTACCTCAAGATCAGCAGACGATATAGGTTCGTCACTTAGGAATGCTTCAGCAAGTTGATCATCGACATCGGAGACAGCTTCAATTAATTCACGCCGCTTTTCTGCAGCCATTGCTTGCATATCAGCTGGAATTTCTTCGGTTACAACGTTTTCACTGCCAAAAAGAAGAAACATTAGCATCTTTGTTATTACCATTTAATAAGTAGTAGATTCTTTGTCATATGATACATATACTTGTCACTACTAGAGCCTAAAAGACAAACCCGCTAGAACCACGAAAATAATATGCCTTTAATTGCACAAGATCCACAAGACCCTGAAAGTCCTCTTCCAACCCAATCGGAATTTGCACTGCAGCACTGTGATGTCGAAGCTTTTTCCTTGCCTAAATGGGAGGGAAGGGGGAGCAGGGAGACAGTCAGCACACTATCAAAAAAGAGGCATCAATCAAAATTGAAGCAACCATCCTTGTAACGCTGTAGACATAACAATTTTTCTCTAAACTCTGCATTACAGGCAGGATCATATAACCCAATCATTGGACTGGGGACCACCAAAGGCCTTTTGCCCTTGAAATCAAATCCAGAATGAAAATGCTAAAATCTTATTTCACATCAAAAACTTTATAAAAAACAAGAAATGTACATTACAGTATAAATGCAAACATCATCAAATAATACGCCTGTCATGAAGCCATGTTGAGAACAACTATTAGCCATCATAACATGATGGAAAACGTGGTCAAATGATTGCTTATGTTTCAAGTAGCATTACCAAAATGCCTATTCTGACGCCACCATGGTTTCTGAAAACAGTCGAGGTGTACGCCCCGAGGCGTGCCTCAAGACGATGCGGTTAAAAAACGTTCTTGGGGCGGGGCCTCTGCTAGGTTGGTTGAGTCGTATGCCTCGAACTACTGAGGCAGTGAGGCGGGGCTGAGGCGGTACTAAGACTTTAGGGTTAAAAAATACGCCAAATCAAAGAAAATATACTTACCGATTGATGACCATTAAAGTGAAACCTGTGCTCCGTGTTTTGTCCTTGTGCATGGCCATTGAAGAAGAAAACTTACTGCTATGTGTGATTTTTCGTTTTTATACAGCAAGACTACGTACTAGGGATGAGAATTGGGAGGTGCATAAGGACTCTTCGATTTTACATAGCAGGATTGACTTTTCTTCTTCTCATGACATCTGTGTCACTTTTATTGTTTCTTTTTATGTAGGAAGCTTTTAATGTTTCTCTTTATGTGGGAGGCTTTTATTGTTTATCTAATTTGTTTTTATTAAAAAATAAATTCTTTAACAATTAATTACCTAAATTAAAGTATTTAAATACTTTATTAGCAACATTATAATTCTAAATACAATTATCAGCTAAGTATTACATATATAATATTATTTTATTTATTTTTATTTTTTGCCTCAAGACTAACGCTTCGCCTCACGTTTCCGTACTTTAACCATTGGACGCCACTAGCACTGATCATGATAGAAATCAGAACAAACATCTTTATTACCGAAGGGTAAGTTACCAATTCCTTCACTATTAGTTTGCCTTGAAAATTCATTGTATTCCCATCTGAAGATGCAACTCTGGATTTCAAGCACTTGATTTGTACTCAGTTCCCTAACACGTTCAGTTAGCTTCTAGAAACTAACATTAGCCCAATAGATCATGGGAAGACTAGTGATAGAGAAACTGCAATATGCCGAGGTACAGTTGACAGCTAAAGTTGGTAGGAGATGATGCTCAAAAAATATACTAAAAAAGTACACCAATGTTCACTACTGAATGCCTTTAAAAAAAGGTTTGCTACTGAAGTTGGAATAAGAAGATGTCATGATGATCAGAGACTACCTGATTGAGAACCTTCCATGGATCTGCCCCCATTCGATCAAGTTTGTTAATGAAAGCAATCCTTGGAACCTCATATCTTCTCATTTGCCTATCAACAGTAATCGACTGACTTTGCACACCACCAACACTACAGAGAACAAGAATAGCACCATCAAGAACCCGCAATGCTCTCTCAACTTCAATTGTGAAGTCCACGTGACCTGGAGTATCAATGATATTTATCTGCAAGAACAGAATATATTTTTTGCTAATTCAAACCAAAGCCAAGTCATCAAACAAAGTAAACAATAGTGATGAAAGTGACCAACATAGAAAATACGAGTCAGTTGGCTCGTTATAAATACACCTTCTTATGACACCATACTAGTCACTTAACTCATCATAAATAAAACTTGTAATGCATGAATGAAGCAAAAAGCAACAAAAAGTGAACCATTAATATTTAAAACCAAGCTTGTTAATCAAATTCACATGGCACACCTAGAGTTACCATCAACATGGCATTCTCAGGCATACCCAGAATTCAAGAGTTTTAGGTTTTGTTTTCAGTTCCTGGGTGTTTTCAACCATGAACAACAATAGAGTCTTGCCTATCTATCATCTTATCAAGTATGAAGTATCATGCCAGAACCTCAAGATTCAAAGCCTCACTTCCTTCAGGCCTTTGCACTTACCTACGTAATGATCTGAAATCAGAATTAGTATCACATATTAAAATGTGAATTCTTATAAAGTTAACTCATCTCATCAATGGCAAAGTGACATCTAAGCTACTAAGCTAGTAAGCTCCCCCTCGACATTATAATGACATACCAAGCATTAGCATGATATTCATTTTGTACGCTTCCCTATATATCAGTGTTCTCAAAATCCTCTCTTAAGCCAGGCATTTGGAATTCTCGAATTGCTTTCATTGGTTAAAGTCATTAATCAGCAGCCGATGAGTTAGGCATCCCCCATAGCTTCGACTGACAACTAACTTCTTAATTAAATGTTTTCAAAAATTAATCAGGGCTTAACCAAAGTTCATCAATCAACTGCCTCAATTTAATAGGAATCTGTCCAATCTTTTTCAAATTAATTGTATCAATGAAACAATAAAACCAATCCATTTAGACATGTAACTGTATCAAAATTTCATTTCTCATATGTTATGATTATATATTTATATGAACCACTAATGCTTCTGCTTATGCATTTGTTTAATCCCTGTTTAGGCGATTAAGGGGCTGGTTGTTTACCTCTTAAGGGTTCCATTTAGAGGTAAACCTCTGATTTAGCCAGAGCATATTTTGTTTGGCAACTTCATTAAAGCATCTGAATCATTCAATCTGGCCCCGCATCGTTCCTTATCTTGGACCTCACCGTATCTTGTTCCACCGTTACCCTTCTCCTCAACTGGTCTCATGTATGCTGCTCACCGTATTTCAGCAGATGAAATGCACTCACCAATAGATCTCCCCATCCAGCATCTCCCTTGTCACCTACTGCTCCATTCTGCTGCTCCGTTGTGTGGCTTCAGGTAGTTGTTTCCTCTCTGAAACAAATATGCTTTCTTCTGGATTGGTTGATGTATCATCTATCACAGACTATGTGGGTTTAAGCTGAAATTGAGTAATTAATTGTAAGGGTTCTCCAATTTGTAGGTTTCAATTCATCATCATTTTCAGAATATTTCTGTTGTCTAGATTAAGGTAAGATGCTGCTTTGTGTCTTTGTGACCAACATTTATTTGATTTGAGGATCTCTCCTTTTCGTTTTGCTTTTTTCCTCTGTACCGTTTTCAATTTTTGCACCATTTCCTCCTTCAGCTGCCAATTTTGTCTTTTAATGATAGCAAGGATTTGTTTTTCTACCAATTTTATGCATAATTTATATAACATCCAATTAGTTGAGACTTGAGAGTACAGTACAGCATCATTGGTGTTCTTTTTATCAAATTTTTAGTTCAAGGATCATCTACTATCTGGTCGATGAAATGCTCAATATAAATTGTATGTAGGAATGTATGATTATGCTACTCTTCAATCTCAATGGTTATTTTATTCCAGTTATAAAGTGACATTTATGAGTTGATCTTTAATGTTTTTTAAATGTGATCATTTATTAAGCCTATTTTTATTTGTTATGTTTGTTGCGCAGGTGTATGATGTAGATACCGGGAAGACCTTACCCCATTTAAATGGAATTGCTGTCATAGATAGGGAACAAGGTGGAACTCTCCTTGGGGACCAATTATAATGGTGTGCCAATGTATTCTCTATTTTAGTTGGTGAATCTATAAAATCTATATTTTGCAAGAAACATATATACCATTTGTACTTATGAGATTAATGAAGTCCTGTATAACCAAAAGTTAAGGATTGGAACATGCTTCTCGTTTCTTTCTCATAGGTCGAATACTCATAGGTGCAATATGATTTGAGGTACCTTGTAATTGCATTTCTCTCTAACTTTCCTTATCAATTGTTTGCTATGAACCAATTCTATGCCTTGTTTCACGGAGATTCAGAATTGTGTTCCACAGAGGTTCAGAATTGTGCTACTAGTGCTGCTTCAGTTGGATCTGATGATATTTCAAGATTGAGATGTGAAGCAGAGGGTGTTTTTAGTAGTTGCAGGAGTTGAAGATGGTTTCTGGGTAGGAGTTGCAGGGGTTGAAGGTGGGTCACCATAATGAAGGTTGCCAAATAAGTATTGAAATTGTGCAGGTTGCGTGCAGGTAACATATTTTATGGGTTTCAGGAGGTGTATAGTACATTAGTACATGTGTAAGGCATTACTAATAGAGCCCTAGAGGATATTGGGTTCATGAATCTCATGTTAAAGTTATAGTTGATTATGTTCATGAACCAATGTGTGTAAGATAACATATGTAAGATGTTCATAAATTACATGATAATTCATGTTTTTGAAATTTATATTTGCCAAATAATTTGAACACTTGTCAAACAATCATACTTCATTCAACACTAAATTATACACAAGGTTGAAATGGTAACTTTTTGTCATTCAGACCATCTAGTTAGAACACTTACCAAACAATTATTTTCATGTTGCACTAAAACATACAGTCACACAGAGGCTCTTAATTATTTTGACCACTTAATCATTCCACACCAAATCATTTAGCATCTACCAAACAGCCCCCAAGTATCAAAAGTAGGTCACTTTACTGCCTAGCTCTAATGCTTCTAAAACATGTTTAGTAAAGTACCAAATACAAAACCACTCAAATCTCCTCTTGTTGCGGAAATAAAAAAAACTGACCAAAATCACAGCATAAACATCTAATTCTTTAATTTCTACCTCCGTCATATATGAACCAGACCCTCTCTAGACCATAACAACTTTTTGGGGGGAAAAAGAAAAAAAGCACACACAAGATGTTGAGTTATTAGAAGCATCCTCATTGGGTGCTCGCTCCATCATCAACCATCATTTAAATTCATTGCCTTGCTTTTGAAAACCAGCAATCAACGGAAAAAAAACATAAGATTGACAAAATGGCTCCACTCTGTTTTTTTATTAGGCAACACATTTGTGTTAATATACAACTCAACTCACTTCAACTGTGAAGAAGTGATACAGTTTGCAACCTGTTAAGCAAATGAAAGATACATAGAGACATGACCATAGAGCCGTAATTCATAATTACTACATGAATAAATAAAAAATACGCTTTGAAGTTGAAACCAAATCTAGCACTGTTTTGCATTTGAAATGAATAGGCTACACTTTAAATTACCATCATCAGAAGTCAAAAACAGGGAAATGGGATTACCTGGTAATCTTTCCAAGTGCAGTAAGTAGCTGCAGATTGAATAGTAATCCCTTTCTCTCGTTCCAATTCCATTGAATCCATTTTCGCACCAACGCCATCTTTCCCTCTGACCTCATGAATCTCATGAATCCTCCCCGTGTAAAACAAAACCCTCTCCGTAAGCGTCGTTTTTCCCGAATCAATATGAGCCGATATTCCGATGTTTCTCACCTTATTCATCGACTCCTTCCACCATGGCTCCTGATCATCCTTCGCTCTCACAGCTGGTGCAGCTGAGTAGTGACGGTGGAGATGGAGGAGGGCAGTGATTTGTGACGGCGGTGCCGGTGATCTTGATGATGAATACGGCGTGGTTTTGAGGGATGAACGTAGGGTATATAGTAAGCGCGTGGTTGATGACCGAGATCCAGCCATGATGTTGGGGGGTTTAGATGGCGCACTGATAAACCCTACTGAATATTGCAAAGAGGAAGAAGATAAAAGATGAATGTGGCAGGGTCAGTTTGTAAATATGAAATAGTTTCATTTACATCCTTTAAGTTTGAATAAATTGCATTATGGTCCTCCTCTTTGTGGGAAATTTTGTGTTGTCGTTTGAAAATGATGTTCTAACAGATGTGTGTGAATTTTAAAAATTACATTTTACGCATCAAAATAAATTATAGTGTTGACTTCTATCGATAAACATGTATTGGGTAAGCAATTGGATAAACGGCCCTTAGATTCTTTAAAATATAAAATTGACCTGCAACTTGTTATGTATGTAAACATAATGTTAAAGTTGACCTTCTCTTTGTTAACCATAAGTGTATAGGCCAGCTTGTTTGCTTGCATCTCAACTAATCCTGAGAACCGTAGAGAACAATCAGAAAAATCCTAATGGCCGTGCAGGACTCGAAACCGATGACCTCTGAAACTGAAGGTCCAAGTCTTATTGCAAATAGAGTTAACCTCACAAGGTTTAAATAATGACCTTTTACCCTACCCCCCACTCCCACTCCCACTCCTACTTCATCTTCTTCCCTAAAACTCGTTGGCCCTATCCACCTCTCCTAATTTATGTAGTAGGTAGAGGTGTAAACGAGTCGAGTCGGATCGGGTCGAGTAGTAGGTTATTCAAGTTGGGCTCGAAAAGAAAATATCAGTCTCGAGCTCGTATAACTTTTTCAGTTTAGGGCTCGGGATCGGATATTTATTAAATTATCGAGCTCGATGCTCATTTATGAGCTCAAACTCATGATCGATTAACTCCTTTATAGGCTCGAGGTTTAATCATTTTTATTGTATGATTTATAAACATACGAGCATGTGTTGCTTGAAAAAGTGTTTGCTCGAATGGTTCGGCTCGACTCGACTCAACTCGACTCGAAAAGTTTAAGCGATTTTTCAAACGAGCCGAGTCGAACATTGGTGATATGAAGCTTGACTGGTTAAGTTAAACGAGTTTTATTTTATGTTCGAGATTGACTCAAGCTCGAGCTGAACTCAAATAGCTCGTTAAAAACTCGACTCGCTTACACCTTAATAGGTTACATGTGTTTTAAAGTAAAAAATCAAAAATCAAAACGTAACCTTTTATCCTCTCATCCCCCACGTCATCTTCTTCCCCAAAACCCACAAACTCGTCATCCTCTTTCATGGTCGACAATACAGAGAAAGAGACATGTGTTTGTGTTGATACAATCGTAAACTGCAACTTCCATTTGTTAGCTCAAACCGTTGAGAAAAAACACCGGCTAAACTGATAAAAAAAATACAAGGATTTAAGTTTGAGATATCTGATACAAGAAACAAGTAAATAAATCCAAAATTAAAGGTTTTATTGATCGATTTGATGACGAAGAACATATGTCTCACTCGTTTTCTCTCTCTCTCTCTCTCTCTCTCTCTCTCTCTCTCTCTTTATTGTTCAACAAAAAGATTTAGTGTTGAGTCAACAAAACCTTAGACAGAAAAGAATATATATCTAACATTTGTCGGGTTTTGTCACTAAACCTAAGAAAATTAAGAAGATAAACTAGCCCTTGACTTATTATTATTTACTTAAACGCCATTTGTGTATTTATTATTTTAGAGAACAGGAATAAGTCGGATGCTTGTACATTAAAAATACTTTTATAAATGGTTACGTGTTATTTTTTAGGTTATAATGACCAATTTAACCAATTTGAAGATGTCTAAAGATTTAATTGTTAAAAAACTATATAATGAATTAATCACTCAAAATCAAAAAGCTTACTGGGTTTTAAATATTAGACTAATCTATATTATATTATAAAGCATTTGGTAAAAACTCTTAAAACTATTTTTTTTTGCATGAAATAATGTATATTGATGCTTAAAATTTAAGATTACAAGTAAATTATGCATAAGTACAACTTATCAAAACTTCATTTTGAATTCGTGTAACTAACTGCAGATAAACATAATCAAATATAGGATAAACATCTCATTTTAAAATCTAAAATGTAACGAGGATAATTATCAAATTCTAACAAAATAATTAATTATTATCTTTATAAAAAAAATATGCATATGTACAACTTATTAAAGCTCTATGTTTGAATTTGTGTAACTAGATGTGGATAAACATAATCAAACAGAGAATAAACATCTCATTTTAAAATCTAAAAAAACTAAAATATAATTAGAATAATTATCAAGTTCTAATAAAATAATTAATTATTATCTTTATAAAAAAATTATATTATTAAACCAAATATAAATTATTTCGTTATAATAAAAAATTGAATTAAAAAGTTACACAAAAGATGAGAAATTTTAAATAGTTAATTTGATGCTAATATCGATATATTTTTGTCAAATTTTATGATTTTTTCAAATTTATATTTTTTTGAAAATAAAAACATCATCGTTTTTTTCAAAATCACATAAGACCATATTATAACATCGACTGAGATAAATAATAAAATGAAATATTAAAATCAAGATGTATCTCGCTGCATTGCGCGTGTAAAAATCAAAAGTATAATTAGGATAATCATTGAGTTATAACAAAATATTTAGTTATTATATTTATAAAAAATTGTGTTATTAAACTTAAATTAAATTACTTCGTTACTAAACCTAAATTAAATTATAATAAAAAATTTGAATTAAGAAAATTACACCAAAAACAATAATTTTTAGAAAGATTAATTTGATACTGATCTCAATATGTATTTTTTTCAAAATTTTATGATATTTTCAAATTTATATTTTATTAAAAATTAAAAATATTATCGCGTTCTCAAAACCACATAAAACCGTATTATATCGACATAAAAAAAAAGAATAAAACGAAACACTGAAATTGAGATGTGTCTCGATGGGTTGCACGCGTACCCTTCTAGTTATAATAATAATAACGTACTTTCACTTTGTTTTCAATTTGGTTCCTGTATTCTGAAAGTTGTTATTAAAATTATTTAACTTTTGAAAACGATTATAAAAACATTTGATGTAACACCTCCTTGCTACTGCTATAAATGAATGTCGCCTTAAACACTAAATAAACGATATATTCAAAACACTTAAATACTTCCATGACAAACGTTAACGAATTAACTTCATCATAAAGCAAACTTTTACATCTCTATATTATCAGTATGATATGCCATACACCCTTGAGGAAAAGAGCATCCCATAGCATGTCAGAAGAAAAACACATCATGAATGAAATGCTCGATATGAATTTGGATTGCAAACAATCAAATATGAACATATTTATGTTGGTTCAGAAGGTAACAGTAATCACAATACATGATGGGGGGTGAAATACGTTGTTTTAAAAGGATTAATAATAATTCCCGTTATTAGTTTTCATATTTAGAGAACAATAATTGTTGTGGAATTCAACAATCAATGACAGATTATTAGCTGCTTAAACATATTACACCATTTGACAAGCGTTAAACCCATAAATCTTTGAATAGAAAAGTACCTCACTCAATCGGTGATTGTTATACCAAAAAGTTGTGATGACAGTCATGAGGACTTTGATGTTCTTAAAATTTCTTGTTGGTGATAATGCGGCTGTGAATACATATATCTTTTGTATAATCTTTGTTTGGCTTATTGATGAACGGTGTTCTCTATCTCTTCAATAGTCAACCAACTTCTCTTCAATTTGGTCTTTGATTTGCAAAAAACATTTAAGAATTGAACTAACTTAAAGCTAACTTCCTTTAACCAAATGTACCACTGAGATGGATTTTAGGGACGTAAATAAGTCTGGTGAACACTTATCTTATGTATGACAACGAAATCTAGAGTTAATGACTAGAAACATGCTAATATTAAGTGTTTATCGGTGATCTTGTCATCAACAAGTGTTGATCCTTTATCTCTCATTGATTTGATGATGATCTCTTTTATCTATCGAAGTATATTGTTTATGTTATTCAGTTTCAGCGATCTTCACTGAGTCTGTTCAGTGATCGCTAAATATGTATTGTAAATCGTTCAAAAACTGTTATACTTCAAGAGAAGACAAAACTCACACCACAGATCCTTCAGCAATATCGAAGACAAAAGCTGAAAATTATAGATCAACAATTCGTGATCTGAAGCGGTATAGTGATAACAAACTCGTCTACATGTGTGTGAAGACTGTGCAAGATTCAGTGAACACTTAAGAGACCTTTCAGCGTCATCCCAGTATTTAATGATCAAATGAATCTTGTTAAGCAAGATTGTTTTTGTCTTGTCCTCTCACACACAAAGGACAAACCCATACCTTGCTAAGTATAGTACAGCACAGAGCCACTCCTTGACTCTAAACGTGCTTACCTACTTTATGAAAGATGATTGTTCACATACGGCCAAAAGCCTGCCATATATGAACAAAGGACAAGCTTTCCTCCAAAAGCTTGACACGTGCCCTATAGCTTATGAATTGCATTTAATGCAATTGGTATAAATAGTTGAGTGGTTCCCCTCTTAGTTATCATCTTCCTTACTAAGAACTTACCCAAGAAGTCACTTCTCTCACCGCTATCTGTCTAAGAGAAAGAACCACTTTAACAAAGTGAAGAGCACATTTATTCTTACCTTATTTCTTGTAGCAAATCTTTTCTTATTTCTATTTGTAATCTTGTGTGTATATTGGATTGTTTAGATAGGTTATGTATCATATCTCTTCCGCAAACAATCTGTAAATTTTGTATTGATTTTATTTATCAATATATAATTCTTAAAAGTGAAAGTTTTTATGTTTGTATTCACCCTCCTTTTCTACAAATCGATTACCTATAAAATCTTGTAGATCGGGCTGGGACCAACAAGTGGTATCAGAGCAGTGTTTGTTTTTTGTGTTGTATTGTTGTTCAACTGGTGTTCTATTATCTTTTTTTTCATTAGATAATTTATTCCTGTTAAAATGGCTTTGCAAAACACTAGCACCAACTTTCACGATAATGGCTCTTTTGCCAAACCTCTC